TACTCACAACATGTATTTCATTTTTAACATCCATATATTCAACAAAATACCACCACCAAAACCCATAGCTTTAGAAATTACATGACTCATATTTCTTATCATGTGTGCCCTTTGCTAAGTGTCATATGCCATATATTACATATGGATATAAGAAATATTCAGGTTCACAGTTCTAATAATAACCATTAAATAAACCATCACATAGTTTTACTTAGAATACGTCCAACACATAATAATCCTAACAAACTTACCATAATCCAAAAAACCAACATAACAAAACACTTCAAACTTCATAAACGATCAGGTTTTTATAATACTAATAAACCTAATTAAAAAACACCATCTTCTTCAAAGATCATTCTACTGCAGCACACCTGTAATTTCCTTGTGATTTCCTTCTTCTTTTCTTCAATCACCTTCATCCTTTCAAACCTATCCATTTTTTTAACAGCTGCATAATGCTTCTAAGAATGTTTTCTTCATAACATTAAAATCCGACATCATCAACTTATCCAGATACTTATACCTAACCTTCCCAACACTTTTTCTTGAATTTTATTATCAACACATAGACCCGCAATCCCATTTATGTGCCGCTTCTCCCATGTATGTTTCCATGTGTCGCATAAGGAAAATTCCACAGTCAACACCAACTATATTCCTTTGACACTTCATTTTTATAACCACAACTTCTTTTTTAAGTAACACATTTGCTTTTTTGTGTTCAACACTATTCAGATAACGACAAAAGAAGCTTTTCTGCATGTCAAATTAAATAATAATTCATATTATAATAAATATATAACAACAATACTCACGATCTATATACGAATTCATTAAGTAAACAACAGATCTAACCAGGATACGTGGTCTATTCCCATATGCAGACTCGATTGTCCCAGACCTCTTGATGTGATCAAATATATAAAATGCAACCCTTTTCAAGCAAAAACACACTAGGTAGTAACTTTCATCAACAACAATTGGTATGAAAACCTACATTTAAACAATATCAACATCAGTTCCACATACATGTGTGATACCAATCATGTCTAAAAACTGTAAAAATTAACAATTCCATACCAAGTCCACCGTTTTCAAATCTGGTTTGTCCGTTATGTCATTCATCACAGCTAGAAACATAATTCTGAATTTATTGTACCTTAGCTCCTCATCTACAGCTTCATCAACCATGTAATCTGTCTGTTTTATCATAACAAAATACCGACCATATTACAATTCATAGCGGAATATGACATACAACACACATCTTATTCATAAAAACTTACAATCGTATCGCATGTGAAGTACACATCCTAGAGTAAGAAGCCTCAGACTTCAGTTCTTCAGTTTTATTAAGGAAAGCAGCCCACGCGTCTATTACATTGGTATGCACTTTTTTTCTCATAGCTAACGTACGTGCAGCTTCCAAATGCATTCCATGACCATCAACAGCTTCCCATATAAATTCCCTGCCATTTAAACATAATACAATAAAAATGCCACGACAAAAAAAATCCATTTTAATTGAGTCACATAAAATGTACATTCTTACCCTTTATCTTTCCCCAAGCTATTATGCTTTGAGCCACAACGTTTTCATCATCTTTACCGCCTCATCCACATCTGTTATCCGATCTACATATGGTGAACACACCAATTGTCCAAGTTTCCCCTTCCTTTTACCTTTCCCATTTTTCAAACTCATCAACATGCACCATTTCTCTTTCCATAATATCTTTTCCAGTTCTTTTTTCAGTTTGTCTTCCGCTACAGATTTTTTGTGTATATCTAATTACTGGCTTGCTTCTTCTTTTAACATCCATACTCTTATCTTCTCCTCCTCTTCCTCATTTGTGTTATTCTCAAATCGAACGATGGTATGTCATCTTTGCAAAAATCCTTGTTCTTTCTCATGCTTCGTTCCACAATCTTATCAGGCATATTCAAAAAACCAGGAGTCAGAACAACTGGACTATCCAATGATGTATTTCCTTTATATTCCAGAAAGAGCACGGAAGGTGAGTCGCACCCATCCACAATCTTTGTCTTCTCATTATTCCTTCCAGTAGATTGAACATTGCATATGAGACTATTTCCTTTCACAAAACTACTTCCTTTCACAAAATTACTTTGCCCAGGATTGACTGCAACTTTAACGGGTGTTTTCATTGTCACTTCATTTGTGGGAGACATATTATCTACATGTTCCACATTCTTTTCATTAAAAAGTTTTCGCACCTTTCGTAACCACTCTTTTACCACACATCATCATTTGCATCCTCTTCTAACCCCTTCTTAATTGCTTCCTCAATTTTTTCCTTATCATCACACATCCTACTATATAGCTTTTCAATTGATTCCACATCTATCTGTCATTGTAATAAAAACGAGTTACAATATCTTCTTATGTATAATATTATTTTTACAGAAAATATGACATAAATATTAAAATAACTTACCACCTTACTCCTCATCATCACCATTTACATCAATAGGATCCACTTCCCCATCTGCACGAAACTCCAAGGTTCCAAATTCTCCATTTCTCAATCCATGCTCCTCCAACATTTCCAAATCCACTGAGTCAATCTGATTTATCAATGGCCTTGATCTGCGGAGATTATAGCCATTCAAAACTACTTTGTCCGCATACGCAAGCTGTAACATCAGAATTAATAAGTTATCTTATATTATTTTCATTACAGAATAAAAAAATCAACAAAAATAAATGCACATACTTACAAATACTTACCAGTAACAGCGTGACTGGACCTGTGTAATAACAGTTTGCGTCATTTGGCCTCCATTTGTATTTTGCCTTCTCCAAACATTCCACTATATACTTGCACCAATCAATTTTTTGAATATCTTCACACCTTGCTAATTTCTCCAGACAATTAATACGGCTTGCCCCACTCATTTCTGTCTCTGCAAACGTGTTTATGAATAATGTCAAGAAATTAAGCTTGAACATGTCATCCGCCACATCCGATTGTCTAATCCTCTTCACATAGTTTCCATTATTGAACTTTCCTCCTGGATATTGACTTTTCCATGCTTCAATAACTATATCTGTTTTATCGCATTCCACAACTAGTTGTAGTCTAAACCTTCACTTGGCAAACCAAACATCTTTTCAACCGTTTTCTTTGTAATAAGTATTTCCCCTTTCTTAGTCTTAATCGTGGATGTTTTTGCTCTAAATTTGTCCACCAGGTAGTAAGCCAATCTAGAAGGTATTGAATCTAACTTTATATCAAGGAATGCACCGAAACCCATTCGTCTCACCATTTCTTTCTGGCTGTATGACATTCCCTTCACCGCCATATACATTGATTTTGGGGACATACGGCAACTTATTTTTTGCAACTCCTGAGTTTTGTCATCCTCAACATCTGCATCTTCATTTTCTACAACATTCATTCTTTTCGGTTTTCTTTTCTTCATTCCTTTCTTCTTATCATCTTCCTTTGAAACTTCAATTTTTAAGACTTTAGTTTTTTTCCTACCACTTCTTCTTACATTAACATCAACATCAGCTTCACTATCTTCATAATGTTCATCTTTCCTTTTCTTTTTCTTACTTACACTAACACTTGATTCGCCTGCAACAAACACAAAATAATATACGCATGATCACTATAATACTACATCAATAAGAATCACGCATAATATTTGCAAATGTTTTATGCCTTGAATACTAATGTATTCTGTATTGACTACTACATCAAACTGACTACTACATAATAATGTATTATGTATTCTGTAATATGTAACGAGGCATAAAATACATAATGTATTCTGTATTGACTACTACATCAAACTGAAAATTGATTTTATGAAATATTACATACTTTCATCAAATACTCTTAGTCATGTCAAGATTCAATTCATGCTTAGGGATAACACTACACACATAAGAATCATGCATATTTGTTTTTTATATGTTTTCAAGTCAGAATATTTACTATAAGTAATATATGATGTATTGAATGATTATCTAATATGTTCTTTATTGAATACTAACTCGAATCTTAAACATAACAAAATATTACATACTAACACACATAATGTGTTAATCAAATAATGCTACTCATATGAAGATTGAATGCACGATTGTGATAATAAAGAATGCATATTTGTTTTGTATATGTTTTCATTGCAGCCTATTTTTTTTTCCAAAACATATAAAAAACATGTACTGAATTATTACATAACGTATTCAACATCTAAATCATTTCATTATTGAATCCATGTAGAAGCATTGCACACTGTCGCACATACTGTGCATTCTGTATTGAAGCATTACATAAGTAATTTAATCTGTGTTGAATACTAAAATAAACTATTAAGTACACAATTAATTCTAATATTAATAATTCAATAAATAATCCTTATTTTTATTTTTTTTAAATACTTTTACTTTGAAATACTACAAAATAACAAAAACCATAACACTAATAATACAACTTCAGTTAAGAATAATTAATATAAGAAATATATGATGTATTGAATTCTTACATAATGTATTCAAAATCCAAATGTTTTCATTACTGAATACATGTGGAAGCATTGCACACTGTCGCACATACTGTGCATTCTGTATTGAAGCATTACATATGTAATGTAATATTTATTGAATACTAAATTAAACTATTAAGTACACGATGAATTCTGTTTTGAATAATTTCATACACAATGCTTATTATTATTTTTTTAGAGTACTTTTATTTTGAAACAATAAACAATAACACAAACCATAACACTGATAATAAAACTTCAGTTCAGAATATTTAATCTAAGACATATATGATATATTAAATTCTAAAATAATGTTATTAATATCCAAATGTTTTCACTACAGAACACATGTGCAAGCATTGCATATTTTTACACAAATTGTACTCAATTAAGAACATTTTAGTACTAATATATACTTTCTATTAAAATATTATAAAATGTGTTCAATATTGAAAACATGTGGCTAATCATTTAATATTATTCACAATAAAAAACAAAACAACATCACGTAGTCAAACAAATACAAAGCTAAAACAATATCAGTCACAGAAGAAGTACATTTTTCAAATCTCGTTTTCACCTTCTTTTTTGCTAATGGTTCCCTGCTAAGCATCACCACACTAGAACCTCCTGCAACATATGACAATGAAAAATGGTTTAAAATTAGACTATTTATTATTTAATATATAAAAACCTTGAAAAACTAGTCATCCGTCTAATTAGATTCCATGATTCAACCACAACAACAATCTTAACTGTACTACGATTATAATATCATTATCAACAGGACACAAAACTTCAAACACACAATTATAATACTTGTCATCTTCAACAAAACCCTAAAAAAAATCAACAACAAAAATTGGGATACGTGAATCGTCTTCTTCAACAAGGAAACCAACTAGAAACATTATATTTCTACATTTCTAACCATTTTACACATATTATATTTGTTTTTAAATACACAAAGCAAACAATCGTCGTATTCAAAACAGAAACTAATTTAAAGTTGTATTTGAACATCAATGAGCAAAACCTGAATGAATGTTCACGAAATCGTCGTCATCAAGGTTAATGGCTTCTTCAAAGGTGTTGCTGAACTTGTTGCCCTTCATTTTTGACTCTGATCGAAGAGTCCTCATTCTGTGATATGTTGAGCAATCAACTCTTTTTATATTCAACTACCGAATCAGCTTCACCAGAATCACATTCAATGTTGAAATCGGCTAATATCTTCAACAAAAATTGGACGATGCGCACGGATTTGGAAGACGGATTCACCGGCGAAAATTACGAACATAGAAGCCTTTTCCTAAATTATTTAACCTAGTTTTTTACCCAAATGCCCTCAAAACCCCGTGATCAGCTAATTCCTTGTATTTTTCCACTTTTTTTTTGCCTTTTATTAAATAGGAAAATACTTAATTATCCTATCCATCTTTAATTAATCTAATGGTTGTAAAATGTCCTCATGTTCTCACAATAATTGGTGTTTTCACAAGAACTATCCCCTATATATATATATATATATATATATATATATATATATATATATATTATATATATATATATATATATATATATATATATATATATAAACAGGATCGGGTGAGGACTCTTTTTTCGGCGAGGGCTCGTGAGGACACCTTAAAAAAAAATACAAATCATAAAATCGAGCATAGTACTATATCGGAGAGAAAAAAAATTGGAATTTTTTTTTTGGATCATTAAAATTGAAGCATGAATCATTTTTACGATCCATGATTCAATTTTAATGATCCAATTTTTTTTCTCTCTGATGTAGTACTATACTTGATTTTATGATTTGTATTTTTTTATTATTATTTTTTTCAATTTTTTAAGGTGTCCTCATAAGTCATCACCGGTATATATATATATATATATATCTATATATAATATATACTATATATATCTATATCTATATATATATCTATCTATCTATATCTATATCTATATAAATCCTATAAAATCAACTAGCAAGAAGCTAGCAAATTACAAAAATAACATATAATTTTGAAACCAATTTAACCGGTTAAAACTTTCCTATTCTTATTAACGAACCAATCAAACGAGTTATCAACAATCAGCTCCTTAATAGTCTTATTCCTAAAGTCTACATTATTGAACACCATATCAATCTTGAATTTCCATATAGCCCAGCAAGTAATCATACAAATGGAATCCAAGCCGACTCTCTTTTTCCGAGAAACACTAACTGAGGCCACCTACGAAAATATGTCCAACACGGAATGCCACATCGGGAGCTGCAAATCAGCCAACTAGAAATAAATTTTCAAGTTTTAGCCGCAACTTCACATCTAATAAGCAAATGCTCCAAATTTTCAACATAACCACCGCAAATCGGACACATAATGGTAGGAATATCCATGCATTTCTTCAAAAAGTTCAACTTTGTGAGGAACCGATCCAAAAGAAGCCTCAAAATAAAAATATTAATTTTTAGCGAAACAAATCGATTCCATCTAGTAACCAAACACAAATAAGGAAGATTTATCTCATTAATATGTTGCCTAATATCCTTGACCATGAAGTCCAAAGATCTGTTCAAGCACCACCACCACTTATCTGGCTCTTATGTCAAAGTAATGTTTTGTAACACATCAACTAAACTCGAAAATCGTGATTCCAAAGCACCTCCCGTAAAGTTTCTAAGCCAATCCCATTTTCCCATCTTTCTATAACGATGTAGTGAGGATTAAGATCAAGATAAAATAGTCAATGAAATCTATCTTTAAAAGCGATATTACCTACCCACGTGTCAAAACCAGAACCGAGTGTGATCGCCTCTACCCACCACCTTAAAAACAGTCGAATGAAGAATCAAATGTTTGTCATGCATCATGTTTATGGAAGCAACGATCCGAGCCCAAACTCCTTGACCATTTCTACACGATCCTCCAAATCGATCACCAATATGAGGACCATAAATGGCATCAATGAATTTAACCCATAACGAGTTATCTTCATTGACATACCACTATCTCCACTTCTGTAAAAGGACATGATTTAAAGCTTCAAACGAACCAATACCTAAGCTACAATTTTGTATAGAAGCCAAAGAAATATTCCAGCTAGCCCAAGGGAATTTTCTACTCGAGCTCACACCACCCCAAAAGAATTGAGCCCTCAAAGATTCCAACCACTTCTTAATTTGAACATGCAACAAGAAAACCGAAAAATACTAAGTGCTAACAAAGCTAAGCACCGAAGTAACAAGAGTAGACCGTCCGCCAATCGACAATGCACTAACTTTCCAATGAGAAAATTTTCCGGAATTCATCAATAATGGGGCTCCAACTTTGGATCCTAGCCATATTACTGCCCACTAGAAGACCAAGGTAATAAACGGGAGCTTATCATTTTTACATCCTGTTGACTCTGCCAGCTCCACAACTTCATTATAATGAACACCAATACCATAATGATTGGATTTCAGAAGATTTATCTTTAAACCTGAAACACAAAAAACCAATCAAGCATTCGAACTAGGCTATTGATGTTATACATGACAAAAGTTTTTTTATGATAAGATCCATTATCACTTTTTTACATGTCTTCGGAAAAGAGGTGTAAATTCTTCCAATTGGTGTCCTACTATAAATAGATAAATGTTTATTTCCATTATGTATAACAATAGTATGACCGACCATTACGGGTATAATGATAAAGTATTATTTTTTTTTTGTTTTTGTGTTAAAATTTAATTATATAGCTTTTTAAAATGGAATGTCCCGTTGCAATTTTTAGATAAAAGCAAAGTATAAAGTATAAACACATAATATTTGCTGAAAAAAGAGATTTACAAAAATAACAGAGTAATATACTCTCACTATCGGGAATATAATTTTCTTTTAGATTAATTTTAAAACAACTAACAACGATAATATATATATATATATATATATATATATATATATATATATATATATATATATATATATATATATATATAGATATATATATATATATATAAGTATTTTAGTAATTTCAAATTGACCAAAAGCTGAACAAAATTCAAACTTAAGGACATTATTGTAACAAAACTAAAACTTCGACTTCGACCACAATCTTTAACAACAACAAAGACCATTTCTTTAATCAGGATTTGCATGAGTTGCTTTGGGATCAAAACGGAACCATAATCGAAACAATCACTTAATGTAATTTCCTAACCATTGTGTCCGCTTATCAGTTTTAGGGGGTGTTTGGTTAAGCTTATTAAAACAATTTATTAGCTTATTAATGGTTCCACACCACCATAAGTTAAAAAAGTGTTTGGATGAAAAATAACTTATTCCGGTAAAAAACCTCTAATAAGTTATTTTTTCATAAGTTACCTCGCACTTATTTATTAGTTTATAAGTTAATAAGCTAATAAGCAATAAACTTTTTTGCCAAACACCCCCTTGGATGATGATGTTCTGTTATTGGCCGGTGAAACTTGAGTAAATTATATAAAACAGAATGTACATTGCTATAAAAAATTATAAAATAAAAATACATTCTTACAAAAAAAAAGGTAAAAATAGGAAGTGCTTCTTGAACTAATAAACATTACAAGTTAGTACTTCTTGATAAAATTTTGGTTTCTGTTGATAAATACACGTATTTTAAATTCTAATATTATTACTTTGTAACTTTTAATATCATTAGGCAAAAAAAACGTACAGAAAAAATATAAATCATTGTTTTAAATAAATAATGTAGTTAGAAATATTGTTGAGCCCAATTCACTGGGCTTCCAAAAATTGACGGGCAAGCCCACAAAAAGTAGAGCGGACTCACTCGTCTTTTAAATGTGTGTTCGTTGTCTTAGGCGTCGGCACGACCCACCGTCTCAATACGATCATTGATAGGTCGCCTCTCACCCTGACAGGACAGGTTAACCTCTTAACAACTCCCACCCTCCATTTTATTCTTAACAATATGCGCCCACCTTTTCCCACTCCTCCGATGTGGGACACCGACTTCACTTCTTTCCATATATTATTTCCTTTCTTTAATTATGCAACATATATATACAAGTAAATCAAACACTATTATTACTTATAATTCTAACTAAATCGAATTAATAAAATGTTGACAGTTGCATTATAATGAAATGGTTCAAACTTGGTTTTTGTTATTTTTGGGTTAACGAGTGTTTTTAATCTAACTTCTTTATATTTGTAAATAGTGGAATCAAGTGTAGAAAATAGACAAATTTTGCAAAAATACTTGTATGAAAAATATAGAAATCCGACAGTCAGATTATTGAAAGATTAGAAGGTAAACGTAAGATATATTTGACAAAAATGTCTAGTAGTTGGAAACTGTAAAAATTGTGGTTTTTATTTGTGTAAAAAACATTTGAAAAAGTAATTGTAAGTTGTTTAAATATGAAGTTATCCGAAGTGGTCACTACCAGCGTTGTGTAAGGGTGATGTGGCACCCAACCTACACGTGAGCACCGTCCCAAGGTCCTGTATTTGTAGTGTGGTATGACCGTTTGAAGCATTTAACCAAAAAAAACATTTTTTTTTAAATAATAAATTTGTATCTATAAATACTAATGTATTTCCAGAGTCGAACACGGTTTTGGAATTGACCCCAACAATGACTTGGACGAGGAGCCACCGGAAGCCACCCTTAGTCTAATGGAAAAGGACAAAACAAAAAGGGAGAGTTGTCGATACAAATGTCGATCTATAAATTTTGAAAACACCACCCCTTCCAGATCTTCCACCACAACTAGAATCTTTTTTAAAAATACAACAAAAAAATTCAAGCAAAATGTGACAATTTTTAATTTTAGTTTGTAATTTGTAATGTAATTTTTACTTTTTAGTATTTAGGGTAAGGTACTTTTTAATTTTGTGTATTTTTCTGTTTTTTTAATGTACTTTTTATTTGCTTTATTACTGAACTCTTTATTTTGTTTTAAAGAATATTGTGTCTTATTAAAATATTATATGAAAATAAATAAAAACTAAAATGATATATATGATGTGGAATGGCGTGTTCATTCATAGTGGAAAATGGAAATATAATGAAGCTGAAAGCGTACTTTTTTGAATAACAATCAAATCAGCTACACCATCATGGCCTAAAAAATTACGTGAAAGGGCATCCGAATGGTTTTAGAGGGGATTAATATATCTTAGAAGTGTAAAATGGTATATATCATAAACTTACTTCAAGTTCCTCGATAATTTTCCAGATGAAGTTTTGAAATACAAAATGGAGGTTCTATAAATTATAGAACTGGAATAAAACTGGAATAAAACTGGAATTATGCATAGATATTAATCTTAATTATGCATGTTATAAATAAGATTTATACTCGGTGGATACAAGATAAGCATGTTCGTTAAAACTAAAAGCATCATAAATAATGACATGGTTCCTCATGAAAAACAATGCATAGCTTACAAACTAACTTGAAATAAGTTGACATAGTTCTTCTTCATAGTCAACACAAAGCATTCAATCAAGGCTCAAAAGTCATAGTCTCTGCCTCACGTCTTACCGAGTCAAACAGGATTGAAGACAAGTACCGCTCCCCAAAACTTGGAAAGATAGCCTGTGTATTTATTTGTACGGTACATTAAATCTCATCACCAAATAACCACATGGAAATGTCAACACTCAACAGGTTGTACTGTGTTTGACACGGTTGGACTGAGACTCATGTCAATGAGATAAAAGTTATGACTGTTTCTTTTTTACTTAATAACAAACTATATAAGCATGTTCCTCTTGACTTAATGCAGAAAGAAGGCTTCCATTTCCCCTAGCATGTCATCATTTTTTCTCAAATATTTAAAATAAATAAAGTGAAGAAACTTACAACAATCAGCTTTCCAGCACTTTCTGGTCTCTTGGCAATCTTGATTGCAGCTGCAGCTGCAGCGCCAGATGATATTCCCACCTGCAACACATGTGATATGGCTGACATCAGAATCTCAACTAGCAACAAGAATGGGCAGCTTGCTGATGTCACTGACGAAAAATTACAAAAATACCCTTTAAAATAATCATCTATGTTGTTATTCATACATAAACTGAATAGGCTTGTACTACTTACCTATGGTTTCATTGATTAAATTAAGTAGAAGTTCTTTTTTAAAACTACTATCTTTTTTGGAGATGCATAGGATGAGTAACTCTAACTTACAAGTAATCCTTCTTTGAGAGCAAGAAGCTTTGCAGTTTCAATGGCTTCATCACTTGAGACCTAAATAAAGATCCATGTAAACATCACTTTAATTCAATACAACTACATGAAGCAACCTTTACAAAAGAGATTATGAAAGAAAAGGGAGAGATGGGTCTTACTTGAACAACTTCATCAATAAGATCAACTTCTAAAACACCAGGAATAAAACCAGCACCAATCCCTTGGATCTTATGTGGACCTTACCCATGATAAAATGAGATCAGTAATCAAAGGAAAAACTAAATAAATGCAAATTTGTAAAAAGTTAAAAGACTTCATGGAAAAAGCCCCTTTTTTCCTGACTTTCTATATACGTTTCAATTATAGAAAAAAAGAAATAAAGCATCAAAGTAGCTTACCAGGCTTTCCTCCAGATAAAATAGGACTTTCGGTGGGCTCAACTCCATAAAGCTAATGCCAAAAATGAAATTAATCAGTTATAGAAGTGCTAATGTTGAGCTTATCAAATTAGTTCTAAAGAAGTAAAAAAAAAACAAACCTTTATGTTAGGGTTTTGCTCTTTAAGATATTTCCCTGCACCTGTTATGGTACCCCCAGTGCCAATACCAGAAACAAAAGCATCAATTTTACCATCTGAACCTTTCCAAATTTCCGGTCCAGTTGTTTCATAATGGATCTACAACATACAATAAGCAATTAGAGTTTTGAAATAGATAAAAAAACAAAACTAGTTAAAGAAATCTACCTTTGGATTTGCAGGATTCTCAAACTGTTGAAGAATGTAAGCATTTGGTGTTTTGGCCAATATCTCCTCAGCCTTCTGCATAGCACCTTTCATTCCTTTAGCAGGATCTGTAAGAACCAACTCAGCACCAAAAGCACGGAGGATAATTCGTCTTTCCATACTCATGGATGCAGGCATGGTGATGATCAGCTTGTAACCCTTTGCTGCAGCCATGAAAGCTAGTCCAATGCCAGTGTTACCACTTGTTGGTTCAATAAGAACACTCTTTAGAAACAATACAAAAACTACATGTCAGATATATGCACAAAATGCTCTTCAAGAACATATCAATTATGTTAGCAAACCTGTCCAGGACTGATGAGCCCCTTTGCTTCAGCATCTGAGATCATGCTGTAACCAATCCTGCACTCCACAAGTAAACACAACCAGAACAAAATCAGATCCATACACAAGTAATCATAAATCATAATACAATTCTAAAACATATCATATAACCCCTCAGATTTAATAGGTTAGTTCATTACTGTTGTAGTGTTGATTAATTTGAACCTCATAAGTTATAGTATGGATAACCAATTGAAAAAGTAATCAACTACTAGAAACCTGTAGATTTGAAAATGGAAGTTTTCTACTCTAATGAAATAAGTACCTGTCTTTAACACTAGAGCAGGGTTCCATCATTTCCAATTTGGCTGCAATACGTCCAACACAACCTTCCACAACATTGTTGAGATAAACCAAAGGTGTGTTTCCGATCAACTGCAGGTATAAACAAAGATCCGTTCGTTAATTAATACCTTGGGAAAAATAGCTGACATACGATCCACAAACTTACTTCGGTAATATCCTTAGCAATCGCAGTCTTCCCTTCCGCCATAGTTTCTGATAAATGAAAGGAAATCAAAGATAATCAGATCTTTGAAGTTATTGAGCTATAAACTCAAAAAGCACAAACGTAATCGAGATTTTTCAGTCTATGTGCTGGCCTGCATATAATAAACAAGATGAGACATTAAAAACTTAATGATTAATAATTGCAGATATTGGAACAAACAGATATCATACAAAATTGGCCACGGGTTTCTCGAAGTTCGCATTATTTTATCATTTTTCAGCGATAACGATCTTCAATTATTATAATCTATTAGCGAATGGAATATCGATTAGCGAAAGTGCCGATGAAAAGATACCTGAGTCCAGAATTAAACAAGAACAAGCTTCGTCGATGAGCCCCTTGTAAAGTTGTATATATAAACAAATATAAGGAAATCGTATCGGTGATGTTGAGGGGATAAACGTTGGATGAAGTCAAACGCGTTACAACCAGATGACTTGAGAGAACAGTCTCGAAGTCTAGATGGACTGATGGAGGAGTAAATTACAGAAACAGTCCCGCAACAATTGAACATAATAAGTTCAATCCTTTTGTCAAAAATAAATTTCAAGAAACCACCTATTTGTGCATCTGGACTTGAATCCAAGAAACATACATAATACACACGTAAGCATAAGACGAAACCCAAATACAAAACAACTACATGAAAGACCAAATTATACAAGGATAAGATAAAGACAGCGTAGTATATGATTTGGATGGAGGCGTAAATGATATAAAAACTTCGAAACATATTTTATAAATTATTGTAATGACTATTGCGTATTGACTAAGCCAGAGTTTGATAAGTTTCTTTAAAACGTTTCGACCTAGGTTCATAGCAAAACAAAGAACACTCTTAAACAACTTGATAAGGTAAAAAGTTGCAAAGGTAGACCCTCAACTGTTTATTGAAATAAATTTAAGACCCGTTTTGATACTTGTTGTCTGAAAAAGTTTACTGACCGGGAAAAAACCATATTGTTTGATCGTACATCTGATTGACTGTGCTGAATGATGAAAAATGATCATATTACACTTTTGTTCTATACTGTGATGGATGAAGTTGCTGAATAATTATAAAAACATATAAATTGTCATACAAAATCAAAATTACACAATAATCGTTTAAAAATCAAAATACAAATTGTCATACAAAATCAAAATTACATAAAATGTATGTTAAAATCAGAATTTCTGATTGAAACTTTAAATATGAAATGATCTTCCTAACTCTTATGCTCGAAATTTAGATCGAAATTTAGAAAAATAAAATAAGATGAAACATGTGAAAGTTCACATCTGGTACTCTCCAATCAGAAGAAAGAAATAAAAAAATAAAAAAAATAAGAGATGAGATGGTTACCTGTGGGGCAGAGCTGGTGGCTGCAGCGGCGCTCCAATGGAGGGAGGCTGGCCAGTGACGAAGTAGGGAGCTTGATGAGGAGGCGATGATGTCCGATGAAGAGCATAAAAGAGAAAAAAGAAAGAGACGAGGTTTGGAGTACAATTATCTTTTTCGGTTCATTTAGACAGAAAGATATGGTTTTAAGACATTGTGGGGAATATTTTTTTTATGCAAATCAAACAGTTTTTTCAGCCATAAATATTTGTTTGGACCTGAAAAAATATCGAGTAGTCTTCTTATCAAAATAGAACTCATAAGGGGGTAGATTGTAAAAAAGTTATTATAGTTATGATTTTGACGTGATAATTTTTTTTATAAAAGCCATTAAAATTAGAAACTTTTTTTTATAAAAGCAATTACGCTTTTAGAAATTTTCAAAAAAGAAAATGCCCAAATAGTTGGTTTATAGATTAGTTTGCAATGGGTTACATGGATAAATTTTTTATTAACGACTATGTTTCCAAATCCTTTTTAACGAGAGAAGTGAAAGAAGGCGAGAAAAAATGGAAAAAATAATGTCTCATAGCTTTTTAATGGATGAAAATAGAAAAAAGGAAAAAAAAAGATTATTGATAATCTTTTCTTCTTAAAGTTGAGTGATTTGGAAACAAAGTAATCCAATATTAGACAGCCGGGTGTCAGCAACGCGCGTTCCGCGTTATCTTACGTGGCAAGCGCCTTTAACGGCGCCATAACGGGGAAGTGCCCGTTAAAGGGCGTTACGCCATTAGGCATTATCGTGGTAACGAGTCGTAACGCCAAAAAATATGACCGTTGTGCAATTTGTTCCGTTGAAAAACGATAATATTACCGTTAATCGGTGAAATGGAAAAAAAAAATACTGCTTAATTTAATTTAACTATATCAATACATATATCTCATTTTATTACACTTCTATTCCTCTATATTTATCTCTATTTCTCTATATCTATCTCTATTTCATTTAAAACAAATAAAACCACTATGGATCAAAACCCGAATACCCCTCATCTGAAAACAAACACATCCACTCCATTAGGTTTTGCGGGATATGAGGGATACATGAGCCTTCTAAACTCCCAAAACTCACCACAAATTCCATATTCCGGCAATTTTTTCAATCCCGCCTCACCCCCACTACAATTCTCTACCTCACCATTTACGCAACAAAATGCAAAACATTCAACAAAACCTTTTTAACACATTCGGTCCCATGCGCCAAACAGTCACACAACCCACACCCACGCAAGAACCCGTTATCGAGACGCAAGCCGGGGGTAGTCAGAAAGTATCGAGAAAAAAAGAGAGACCAAAAAAGAAACGGAAAGAGGTCGTTGTCGGGACGGACGAAACGGAAGCACCTCCAACATGGTGGACACCGGAGGAAGAGCATGCGTTGGCGGTGGCTTGGTGCGGTACTTCAAAACAACCAACTATGGGAACGATATGAAGAGAGTTGCTTTTTGGGATGTCGTATTCGTCAAATTCCGCACAATTTTGAACAAGGGTGACACATATCGCAATAATGATATGCTTAGTGGCAAATGGACTCAAATTAGCCGGAAGTGCACCAAATTCAATTCCATATACAACAAACTTTCTTCGCAACGTCAAAGTGGTGCCAATGATTTCGATGTGTTTAGAGCCGCGATGGAGGAATATCACGTGCAAATGGGGCACGTATTTGAGTATGAAAAAGTATGGGACATAGTGGGAAAGATCCAAAATGGATGAAAACGCCAACATCATCAAAGAGGTCTCGTGGTTCGGGTTCGGTTGACGTTTCCGATGGACACACGAACATCGACCTCAACGCGGACACCGATGAGATCCCGGACTAGTTTGATGACATCGAGGAAATCTCTCCGCCACGACGACCGATGGGGCGCGACAAAGCCAAACGCGCGCAACGACATGCGCAGGAGAATGAAAGTCGGCTTCGAGAGCACGACGAAATGCGTCCCCCCCCTCATCTTCTATTGAACCGAGAACATGAAAATATAATATATCTTCCCATTCCTCTCATTTTCTTTTCTAGATCTCCTTATTTTTCATCCTCTTCTTTCATTTCCTTTATTAAACACGGGAACCCTGTGTAAATGAAAAATGATAAGAAAGTCACTGGTTCAATCCTGGGTTTCCAACAACTGATAGGCCACATTTGATTAAAGAAATTGTACCCACCAACTACTCATATCTTATACGTGCATGATTCTACGTCTCATCAAAGTCCATTTAAAGAATATAATTGACCACGTATTTAACCTAGGAAAAAAGTATTCAACAAGAAGCTTTATCGAAAAAAACATTTGTGGGAGGGTCGCAATAGAATATTGTTACACATATGAATAATTTGATAAAACCAAATCTAATTCATAGTTTTAAGGGCTAACTCACACACCCCTAGTCTACTCCTAAATCTATACATTTGTTTCAAACGGGACTTTAACCATCAATCTATTGATTGAAGGGCACAATTCCAACATTCGCAGTTAACATAAATACATTGTTAGCATCCTTCTAATTCAATGATCGTAACCATGTTTTTGCTTTGGGTGTCTAATTCAATGATCGTAACCATGTTTTTGCTTTGGGTGTCTGGTTTAGACAAGCTAGATGAAGAAGTAGCATGTGCTTCTTCCTGAAATGAAAGGTGGTTCTTCTTGAGGGAGGGTGGCAATTTCACCTTTAAGCATCAAAAACATGTTTTCCATGTAGGATGTTCATCAGGTTGTCCTTATACACATATGGGTCCCACATTTATACACTTCAACATATCACTTGGATTGCATGAGTCCATCAGTGTTTGGTCCATCAACTCATGTGGCTTATCTTCCATCCATAAACTCCATGCCTGAAATATATAAAAAAAATTATACGACAAATAAGAAAAAAGTGTAGGTAACAACTTCATAAGTCTTATACAACTTACTTGTCCTAAAAGACTAATATAATAATCCTTTGTTACTTTTTTCCACTTATAATCTCAATTATTTCTACTCCAAAGCTATACACATCAGATTTCACAGAGAACACCCCATCTAATGCATACTCTGGAGACATATAACCACTGAAAAAGGGAAAAAATTGTTAGAGGAGCCACATTTGTACACTAGTAAACAGAGTAAATAACAAGAGTCTGTGTTATGAAAACTACATGATCCCAACATTGTTATATTCATAGCAGTTTTTACTTTGTGAAATTAAAAAGCTTACCGAAAACTCTTTTAGTGATTGCTTATCTTTTCCTTTAATGATCTTGGCCAAACCAAAATCGGAAATTTTAGGATTCATGTCCTCATCTAACAAAATGTCGTTTGTTTTCAAATCCATGTGAATAATCCTCAGCCATGAATCATGATGTAAATAGCTGAGTCCTCTTGCAATTCCCATAATGATGTTACATCTGATTTTCCAGTCCAAGGATGTGCACAGCTTTGGATCTTGCAAAAGAATGAAGTTAATTTGGAGTAATAAGTTTCTATATTTTCACAAATAGAATCATATGTCTGGTATTTTAATTATAATTCTGTTGTTAAAAAACTGAATTAAGAGACTAACCAAATAGAATTGAATCCAGGCTTCTTTTTGGCATGTATTCGTAGAGTAGAATCTTTTCATCTCCTCTGACACAATACCCCAAAAGTCTAACAAGATTCCGATGTTGCAGTTTTGCAATCACCATAACCTCGTTTCTGAGCTCTTGCAACCTCTTCATGGCAGTTTCTTGTCCTCCAAGAAGGTTACCCTGCTAAGATTATTAAAGTTACTATGTTTATAAGTTATAGCTAGAGATACCAACCGAAAGTAATATCTATATATATCATACCTTATAAACAGGACCAAAACCACCTTGTCCAAGCTTATTCTTAGGTGAAAATGTGAAAGTTAAGCTAGACTCTTCTTGAATTTGATGTTTTCTCATGTGGAAAGAAACCCATTTGAACCTTTCTAAATAATCAAGACCATCATTGATGAAATAAATAACCCCAGATGTTATGTTGTCTTTTTCTGAACAACAGTAGCAACATAAACACACCAAAAATGAAAACAGGAAGAAGAATATATAAAGATTCTTTTCTGAATATAGTTTCGAACTTTGTAATAAAGATGGAACAGTGAGAGACTGCATGGTGCATAACTGCATATGAATGATATGGAAGATCTCCTATTTATACTACATGAATGAGGTGTCACCTTTACTTCAGCTCTTTTACTTAGTTTTCATTAATTGTAGATTATTTAACTTTTGATCGAGTTTTGATTTAACCAGCTTAATAAATTCAATACTTCCCATTCTGATTCTACAAAATTTACAAGAGTTAACTAGCAATATATAATACTCTATTCAGAAGCCATTCCATCATTCCAAAATTATTAATATTTATCTACACAGATAAACGAAATTAGGTTACAATTTTTGCATTTTCTCCTAACAAAAATATTAAATGATGCAATGCTTAAAATGAAGAGTAAATAGGCCTGCTACCAATAAAGTGAATGTGTAAAAACTAATGAAACTTTAGAAGTACAGTATGGCTAGACTTTATTATATAACAGGACATGTTGGTTGTAATCGGGTAAACATTTATTTGTTTCAAAAACCAAACCACAGTCCACATGGTGTTTTTCATTCACCTTCGTATGGGAAACATTAATTGAAGCCACCATCCATATTTACTTCAACCATCCATTTCCATGACTCGTTGTTGGATAGTTTTTCCAACTTCTCTTTTTGCATGTTGCAGTAATCACCATTCGAAAACCCAACAACAACATCGAAATTACCAATGAATTGCAAGTCATTACATTATCAATTTAGCAATGACTGGAGCAACGAATTATTACAAAAAACTATATAGATTTTAATTTAGTTTTTAGGATATATTGGATGAAAGACTATGAATTTATGATGTTGAGGCTTCATATCGTATTCAAGATGAAACATGATTAAATATTTGATTATACGACCATGAAAAGGAGAATTAAAGGGAAAGAAAGTTAACGCATACATAATCTCAGAAAAAAGAAAAAATAAAAGGGATAATGACTTAAAAGGGTAATGTATTTTTTGATTTGTACACATTTTGTTACTGAGTTTTTTTTCGTCAACAGTTACCCTTTTAATTTGTTAAACTGTACACATTCAGTCCTTATGACCGGTTATTTCAGGTTAACCGGGAAAAATGACTTAATAGGGTAATATAATTTTCATTTTATACACATTTAGTCCTTAATATTTTTGTATATATTTAGTCATTAACATTTTTTTGTTTCAAATAAGTCTTTTTTTTTTACTCATTCAGTACTTATGAATGATTTCTTTAGGTTTTTTCTCACAACATCTTACGTGGGACAATTATTGATGAGTTGTTTGGGGTTGTTGATGTTTATGTCCAACATGATCTCGACAGCTTGGTTGCGTAGGTCTTGTGGTTTGGCTTAGGTTTTGTATTCTGAACGTTGTAACTTCTTCATATGATATCAGATTTTAACGATTTTTATATCCACAGGTTCATTTTTTCATTAAGATTACTCCCGTTAAAATGTAATATATTTTTACTTATGATTTTATAAAAAAAACATCCATACATGCATTTATAAAAAACATATGGACAGGAGCAGACGCAGAAATTCATAGTAGGTGTTGCCGAGATGAAATATGTGTTACTGATACATGAAAAATAGCTATAAACGAAAAAAAAATCGAAAATGTTTCCACTGCGGACAGAAAAAACAGGTGTTGTCGGTGGAACACCGGGACCAGGTTAAATCTGCCTCTGCATATGGATATAAAAATCGTAAGTAAAAAATATATTATTGTTAATGGGAGTAATCTAAATAAAAGTTGTAGTAGACTAAAATACGAACGCATGGATATAAAGGATCATTCGCATTGATATAAAGATCGTTAAAATCTAAGATCGTATGAATAAGTTATGACGTTCAGAACACATGACCTAAACAACCAAGTAGTCGAGATCGCGATGAACATAAGCATCAAAAGGCCCAAACACTTCATTAATGAATTTTCCACGTAAGATTTCGTGAGAAAAAACTAAAAAAATCATTCATAAGTATTTAATGAGTATAAAAACAAAAATGACTTATTTTGCAAAAAAAATATATATATATATTAAGGACAAAATGTGTACAAAAATATTAAGGACTAAATGTGTAAAGAGTGAAAATATATTATCCTATTAAGTCATTTTTACCGGCTACCCTGAAGTAGCCGGTCATAAGGACTGAATATGTACAGTTTAACAAGTTGAAGGGGTAATATAGACGAAAAAAATTCAGTGACTAAATGTGTACAAATCGAAAAATACATTATTACCCTTTTAAGTCATTATCCCAAAATAAAATGACAAAAAGTAACTCCCAACGCAAAGAAAAAAAAATGGTAAACTAAACACAATTTGACAATTTAAGCGTCCTTTTAGGGGTTTTATCTGCTATTTTGTCCAAAAAACTACGGTTTTAATTTTTTTTTTTATATTTTTTTTAATTTTTTTTTGTAATATAGAGTATAAAAAAGAGTGTTTATAATATGTACAATAACTTTAAAAATTATTTTGTTTAAATTTTAACAATTATTTGGTTTGAATTATTTTGTTTAAATTTTAACAGTAGTCAACTCTGACGAAAAAGTAGACTACTTTTTGGGTAAAGTTGACTACTTTGTTGCTAAATTTGACTACTTTTTTGTTAAACTTGACTACTTTTTCGTCAGAGTTGACTACTGTTTTCAACCTATCTTATATATATTAAGTATTTTATATATTTGGAAAGTTTATTCTCTCTAGCTTCTTTATCCTCAAAATTAAGATAATGAGTTGTAACGAGTAATTTTGTATTTCTCATTACGGATGGAAGATGGGAGTTTGTTAATTCCCAATTATCATATGTTTGGCCACTGGGATACAATCCGAGAATGTTTTATTTAGGTGTTGAATTTTACGAAAACACAACGTTCACTGAATTTGTTCAGTTGGTCAAGTGCAAGATGGGTCTTCCCAAAAGAATCAAAAGTTAGTTTGACCTATCAACATCCAGAACAACTCTATTATTGTGGTATTGTTGATGATCGTGATATTAGAAAGCTGATGAAGGTAATAAATGACGTTGGAGATAAATATGTGTCTGTGTATGTGGTGGTTGAAGAAGGCGTTTGGCCGAACGAAATGGATGATAGAGGAAAGGCATCTGCAATAAATTTATAAAGTGGAAAAGGGAGCAACAACCCAATAGGTAATTTTAAAAGTCCAAGTAAAAGTCAATATCATAGTGTTGCTGAAAATGTAAATGTAGTGCCAGAACCGATTATGTATGTTACACCGGAGAATTATAAGTATATCGGTGATAATGATGTTGGTGCATATGTTAATGATGTTGGTGTAAATGATTCATTTGACAAAAAAAAGCAGTATCCGTGGTGAATAAGGTTGGTAATGAATCTGGAAAACAGGAAGTTCCGTTTTTGCATGATGGTGAACTAAAAGGATATGGTGAGTTTGCGAATTGTGACAAGTTGGATATATCTGGCCTAGATAGTGATTCTAACGGAGAAGAATTAGATGACGAATCTAAGCTTATTTATTCAGATACCATGTTTCATGGTATGCCCCCTTTGCCTTCATGTCCTGTAAACGCTGATGTGAACATTCCATGTCAGAGGGTGGATATAAGTGAAGAGATTAAGGTTTTAGACATTTTTGATGACAAAGAGTTGCTCAAGCTTGCAATCGGAAGACAATGCATGGAACAAGGTAAGCAGTATAAGACTACCAGATCAAGCAAAGGAAGGTTCGAGGTTGTTTGTTTGGTTAAAAATTGTTCATGGATGGTTAGGGCAAGGGGGATCCAATTGACTACTGCTTTCCAAGTCACAAAAGTTGTTGACCAACACACATGTTGTGCAACAAATTTGGAGTCTAATCATCGACAATCAAAGAAAAAGGTACTCGGCCACTTTATCGCTGAAGTATTGGCCGGAGACTATAATAGAGTTTATCGGGGTAATGAAATTGTTAGGGACATCAATTCGAAATTTCCAATCAATATCTCATACCAACAGGCATGGCGTGCAAAACAGTATGCGTTGTTGATGTTAAGAGGTACCAAAGAGGATTCATTCACCAAACTACCAGCGTATCTGCACAACTTGGTCAAGCACAATCCACGAACTGTTACTCAGATAAGAGTAGACGATGGTGATCGGTTTGAGTTCGTGTTTATCGCGTTGGGTTGCTCGGTAAGCAGGGTTAATTTTTATAACAAATATAACATATGAATCCTAATTGGTATTTGTTAATGCAATGAAAAATAATTGTAGGTACGAGCGTTCATCAAGTATTGTAGGCCGACCCTAATAATTGATGGTGGTCACCTAAAGGGTGAATTCAAAGGCACGATGTTGCTCGCAGTGACAATGGACGGTCAAAACCAAATCATGCATGTTGCTTATGCCATTTGCAAAAGTGAATGTACGGAGACGTGGTCCTGGTTCCTTCGAAAGCTACGTGAATGTATAGGCAACTTGGAAGACCTTACAATCATATCTGATAGTGCTCCATCCATAGCGACGTCAATTGCAAATATATTTCCTCACGCCTATCATGGAATATGTGGTATCCATTTGTATTTCAACATTTCAGCAAAATTTGGAAGCAGCGATACAATGCACGCATTATTTTGGGAGACATGCAAAGCCTATACCATTAAAAAATTCGATAATGGGATGAAAAAAATAAAAAATGTAAATATTCGTGTATGGGAATACCTACAAAACATCAATCCAGAAAGATGGGCCAGTGCACGTTTTCCTGGGAATCGGTATTTTCTTATGACATCAAATAGTGCGGAGTCGATAAATTCAATGTCACGATTTACAAGAAAGATGCCAATATTGATGTTGATTGAGTATTTTTGTGCAACAATGCAACAATGGAGTTTTCAGAAACGTAATGTTGCAGGTACTAATATTTTATATACATTGTTGATTGAGTATTTTCGTAACTCGTGTAGTAATAATTTTATGAAAAATTATGTTTATTTTTTTAGCTGAAACTAAAACAACACTCACCCCATGGGCTGAAACGATTATACAAGCAAATAAGAATGCTTGTAATAATTGGATGGTGTACCCTATCTCAAATAGCAGATTTGAAGTGAAAAGCTCTAACCACAAAAGTGTCATTGTTGATTTCCAACAAAGAACCTGTACATGTAGGCGGTGGCAAATAGATGGCTTACCTTGTGGCCATGTTATAAAAGTGCTGACAATAAACCGTTACGAAGATTGTTCGGAATTCGCTTTAAAAGATTACTTTACATAAGCATCGAGGAAAACTTACGAGGAGTCTGTGAACCCCTTACCAAGTCCATCTG